TATAGCTGGCCTAATAGTTTCCAAATTTGATTTCTAATTCATTACATTGTCATGTTTTATGAATAAAATTAGTATATCTATTAGCACTTCCCAGCACTTCTTTTCTATAATTTCTCCCTTTTCTCTTTCCCAATCTGTTCTTCTTTTCTAATCTACTTCAAGGACAGGGGTAGGCAACCCTTGGCACTCCAGATGTTGTGGACTACATCTCCCCTGATGCTTTGCCAGCATTATGTCTGTGAGAGCATTATGGAAGATGTAGTCCATAACATGTGGAGTGCCAAAGGTTACCTAGTCGTGTTCTAGGGACTAGAAGTCTTGCGAGGATGGGATAAAGAAAATAGGTGTCAGGCCACGACAGAGCCACTTTAACACCGGGGGAGAACTAAAATTATTTTTTTTCTAAATGCAGGAAGAAATGTTTATTAGATTATAATGTTGCAAGTTTTGTATGAAAGATGTTCGTATGTATAGATCCAATATTTTGGTTTTACAGATTTTGCTAGAGTACTCCAGATTTCAGAGTGCTGTGGGGCTGTGCAGGATGTGCGCTGTGTAGTTTAGATTGTAGTTTACCTTTTAAAATGCCTATTGGGTTAAGTAGCCTTGACTACACCCCTCCATTACAGAATAAATTGTTTTAGTCAATATGGAATAGACAATGGCAGGAGCCTAGCTGTGCTGCTTGTACCATCCATGTAATGTCAAAGTCCATTTGGAAGATAGATGAGGAATATACAGTGAGGTGGAAGCATAGCAGACACTGCAAGTTACAGAAAAGCAGAATGGACAGAGTTGCATAATACTAAAAAAGAAGGAAGGGATTTACTGCAGACATTTGATGAGTCTGATAGAAAGTCTGTAGGAGTTAGAAATCGATTTCCGATATAGATAGGACTGGAATCAGTTAGTGATCAATGTAGGATAGTGAAGGAACAAGGAAGTTGTATATAAAAAGCAGAGTGTTTTCTGATGGAAATAGTAGCATTACGAGGGTCAGTGTTGAAGGATACAGACTCAGATAGTATTACTTTCATATTTACTCCTGCTTCTTACAGATCAAGCAGGAAAGTCATTTGTCAAATTGCAGAGACTTTTATTGGCAAAAATGAGATAAAATAAACAAGAAAGTATTTTTTTTTAAATCAGACTGTCTGAATCAGAACCTGACTCTTAACACCCACTGTACAATGCTACGAAATTTGCTGGCGCTACACAAATAATAAAATAATAATAATAACAGTACAAAGCAAAAAAAAAAAGCATTCCTTGCTATATAAAATAGGTTGTAAATTAACCAGCCAATTAGTAGTAGGAAAACAAACAAAGTTTATGGCAGATTGTTCAAATGTAAGAAAGTTACAGAAAATGGGGATTTACCCAAGTCTTGAGGCAAATCTGGGATTTCTGACAAAAAGCAATTCCCATATGGAAAATAAACAAATATATAGACTTGTAAACTGTCTGGCTGTAGCTGAGTGCAGAATTCCCAGTGAGGTACGTAAGTGGAAATTCAGTTCTGAGTTGAGCTAGAGATTCTGAGACCTGAAAAATGAGTTAGTAGAAAAATGCAAGGCACAGGCTGGTGTCCTCTCATTAAGAGTGCATAGGTTCACTGACAGGGCGGTCTTAAATAGGCTGTTTATTGTCACTGGATTTGTGAACTGAAAGGGAAAGAACACAATTATTTAAAGAGACAATAATATTACAATACATGTTTCGATGAAGGTCTTTGCTTCTGCCATAGCATAGAATTTTGAAGCCTGATGTGTAAAATATCTTGTTTCTATTCATCAACACAAGTGTTAGATAAAACTCATGGTAGTTCAGGTTCACTTTAGGATTATATTACTTGCGGAGCTTCTCACTTGAACCCTAACTGGGACTAGTAGACACTAAATTCAGCAAGTGTAAGATGAAGGCGAAACACAATATATTCCGCTTGAGATTTTTCCAATTTGGGACCAAACACACCTTATTTAAAAACTGGCGAATTATTGTTGAACCTTAGTGAGTGCCAAGGTGATACTCAATGTAACTCAAAGTTTCGCTATAACTGAACAGCTTGTGGGTTCTTCATGAAAGCACACCTACTTTGAAATGTACGGGCACCTTTTTGGTAGTAGAGACATGGCAGTTTTCAGGATGGATGGCAGGTGCCACATTGAAGAACCAGTATAAATAGATGAATCACAAATGGAATCCTGCTGGCATGCTACCATAATGATGACTCTGCAGAAGGAGGATGTGTTAGTAGTCGTAGCTATTAACTAATCTAGATGTGTTGGAGGACTGAAGGACTTACTGCTGCTGGTAACATTTTACTGTTTGTTCTCTATGGTGCCCTATGGTGCTGGAGAGGAAGCCTTCTTCCCTCCCATCTTTCTTCACGTCCTTCTCTTCTCTCTTGCTATGCAGCCATTGTGCCTTTGAGATGTATCACATTGTTTTCTTGTTTGATTAAATTGGTCTTTTTCTGTTTAAGCAAACCAATGACTAAGAATTCTTAAAGAGGCACTGTCACTATGCAGGTTTTACTATGAAAGCAATCATCTATGTCCTTCTATTTCTCATTGGTTTTTTAATTCACCTTAGTTTTTTAGTTATACATAAGAAAAATAAGAGACTACATTTGCCAAATTTTGGCAATGGGCAGAGTTTATGTTGCTAAGCTCATTTACCCAAAATCCATCGGGTAAAAGAATCCCACAGAAGGGCAAATTGCAGACATCATAAACAGATTAGAACAAAATGGAGGTGCCCGGGTATTAAAATGTGGCACTAGGAATAAAAGATAATATTAATAAAGGCAAGTGGCAAAGAGCACATATACTCATTAAAGGGACACTATAGTCACTAGAACAAATACAACTTAATGTAGTTGTTCTGGTGTCTACTACCTGTCCCTGCAGGCTTTTTAATGTAAACACTGCCTTTTCAGAGAAAAGGCAGTGTTTACATTACTGCCTAGTAACATATCTAGTGGCAATTACGTGGACAGCCACTAGAGGTGCAAGACTTTTGTTCTGTACATCCTGTTCCTTTAAAAAAACAAGTTCTACATTAATTTTGTTTTACCACTAGTGGCCTCCCTTGCCTCTAGTTTGAACACTCACCTTATAATTCTCACATGCTTGGATTAATTGGGTTCCTGCAAAAGGTAACACCCAACTCACCACTATGCTTTGACATTGAAGCTGATGATTGCATGAAAAGACTTCATATCCTGGCTCCTGAGTTAACCTGTGGACTTTCCTTATTGGCTTCATAACCTGCCATACTCACCAACCTGCTCCAAACTTACCTGTACAACTCTTCCTTCCTGCCTTATGTACAAACCTGCAGCAAACCAACCTGAACTCCCTATATTCCTGCTGAACATCCAACTTGCTTAAAACACTGGACTTTAATTTACTTTGTGGCTATCTATGTTGCTCCTACAACGGATTTACTGATATTCCAAACTATATTTGCATCTATCAAAAAGGACCGGCTACTACTTTATAACTTATCCAAAGAGACTGAAGAATTACAACCCTATTTATGTATTCCTTATAGTTCTGTCTAGTTCAGTCTAGTTGTTTCTTTATTTCCTATTCTGGGGCATATCGCCTAAATCCTGTTTCCTATTTTCCCACTATAATGTACCTATAATCTCTCTTATAGTTTTATCTTCAATTATCCTTCCTATAACTTCTTTTACAGGTTTACCTTATTTCCCATTTGGGCTTGTTGTCTCAATCCTTTATTTCTTAGGCTACTTAATTCCCTGTAAATTCAGACATTCTGTTCTGTTCACTATCTTTCATTCCTATAACTACAATAATAGGATATCCTGTTCTTATAAGACCCTGAAATAAACTCCACTTTCAGTCTCATCCCTGACCCGCACAAGATCATAACAGGTGCTTCCTGCGTCAGTGCTGCACAAGGTTTACGCCATGCATATGTAGTAGCCTTTGAATACTTTTCTATGGGAAAGCATTGCATTGGCTGAGATCAAATTGTTTTGTTGTCAATCTTTCTTTTATAGTGGCAGTTAATTTATACATTACTGAATAATATGAAATGAATTAAATCAGCTAAACATAAGACAGATGTATCAACATTTAACAGAGGAAACTCTTATGCAAGGCAGCCACATTTTTATAATGGTACACGTTTTATCAAGCTAGAAATGCAGGAATAGTTTGTTATAAAGTAGACAAGCTAAAAACACGATAAATGAGGCTAAGTATTCATGAGTAGACTACGATGGCATGAACAAACAAAAAACTGATTGTTTCAGGCTAGATATGTGTGAGTTCTTTATCATTACATAGACATCATGTTAAAGTTACAGGCTTGAGAAATCATGGGTTCTTTACCTGTATATTTGCATGTGGCATGGGTCGGTCGCTGTCTCCCCAAAACGGGTGTGATGATGGGTGCGATTATTATTATTTTATTATTTATATAGCGCCAACAAATTCCGTAGCGCTGTACAATGGGGGATAAGTGTGAATGTGTCTGTCAGAGCTGGTGTATGTTATTGCCAGGTGTGTGCCTTGGGCATGTATCTGCATTATGCAGTGTCATATCAGCTAACGTATAAATTATAAGTTGTCCAGCTGCTACAATTAGTGACCAGCTTTCAGCCTAACCGATTAGCTATAACATGTGGGCTTGCAAAATAATCAAATCATCAAGTCATAGATATCTGAGCTTGTTGTGGGCGAAACCCTGTGTACGATTGAAGAATCAGGCTGGCAAGCTAAAATCAGGGGGATAACCCAACGTGTGGGCAACATCACCAGCTATCATGGTGTAAAAGTCCCGGATCAGCCTATGCCCCGGTTTGGTAGCAGGCTTAGGGGGTGGCCTGACAACAAGAGGCAGAGTCTGAGTAAGTCCTCCCCAAAGCCCTGGGCCGTTGTAAAAGGCGTGCATCCATTGACCATGAACTTGGTTACTCATGTAGGAGGCCAAGTTCTTCCCTTACAGGAGACAGCATTGGATACCGATGGGCAGTTGCAGCTTGCAACGTCAGATCCTCCGCGTTGGTGGCCAATGCTCTAGGAGCATATTCCTGGTGGTCTTCAGCCCGGGTAGGCCCATCGTGTGTGGCTGTGAAAGGAGCGCCCATGGAGGGCCCGCTCATCTCCCGTCTCTCTTCCCTCCGCTTACTCTCCACCGCCGGTGCCTTTGGTGTCTCGAGGTGAGTAGATAACTTGTCCCAGAAGCTGTTGAACGTCTTAGCCAAGCGCTGCAGTATGAGCTCACATGTGCTCTGCGTTGTCTCGCCAGAATGCTGTGCACAAGGCTTTTGATTGTTAGCCATCTTAGGGTGAACTGCCTGGTCTGTGGCAGGACATGTGCTTAAGCACAGCTATATGCAGTGGTGGTCGCCCATGGGGACTGGGATAACCCCACTGGTCCAGGGGGGCGCGGGGGACAGCAAAGCACTGGTCGGAGAATTGGGAGAGCGGCTGTCTCACCCCAGCTCAAGCTCAGATAGACCTCAGGCCTCAGTCGGGTTACTTCGATTTCATACTGGGTTGTGTGAAGTATCCCTGTGTACACCGTTGGTTGATTAGTAGTTTGGTCACTGATTTGGGTCGGTGTCAGCTTATGGCACGCCGTTAGGTCCAATTTTCGGCTTAGATGCGGGAGCTCAGACAAAGCACATCTGATCCGATCAGCGGTCATGCTCCGCCCCTGAGATCATCAAATTTGATGATCTCAGCCAAGAAAGTGTTCCTTTAAGATATAAGGGACATAAGAAAAGGTAAACTAAAAGAAAAAACACGACAGAGTCAGTTTAATTACTGAGCTAATACAACTCTGTTGAATTTTCACAGAAAGCTCTGTATTCACTTCACCATCAACAAAAGTTCAGATCAAATGACTGAACTGCAGGAACGATAGGAAGACCAAAGAGGGAGTAGGAAGGGGGGGGGAGTAGGTTGAGGAGTAGAGAACGTACTGTGAAAACAACAAAAAAAGAATCCAGAAAGGCGAATTTGGAGAGATACAGTTTTAGAAATAAGGGGTTGTATTATCTTGCTGCACTTCCATTTTTTTTCTTTTTAAATACAGAGGGATGTTATATCCATTTATGTATCTTTGTAACTTACCATCAACAAACAACACAATGTTAATAAAGTAACAATTTAATATCCCTAAACAATTCTCTTCAGTAGATCATATCCCAGCAACTGCAATCATTGCGACCTCGTGAATAGGAAAGACAAATCCATCCCTCCCACAAAATCACCAGTGATGGCATAATGCCGGGCTCGGCATGGAAGTTTGGTGAGAAAGGGGATGTGTAAGAATGAGAAATTAAGGCTCAGAGGAGATTTTGATAGTTGTTGTTCAAACACAAGAATCTTAAAGTAACTATGACACAGCTATTAACTCTTTTGGTGGGAGCACGGCTTGGAAAGTAAAGTTTGTTGCCTGTGTATTTTAAAATGAAATGGATAGCCAACACTGCAGTAAGCACTGGCAGTGAATGAATATCCTGAATCAGTAGATGCTATATATGATAAATCAATAACATACAATATAACGGGCCAGTAGCCAAGCTCCCAGAGTGCAATGTACACTTTTATGATGTTCACGGCAAAAAAGAAAAAGCTGTGTTGCTTGTTAATGGACCATGCAATAACAGAAAGAAAATGTGTGCGATTGCATTGGGATTTATTGAGAACGTGTTATAACAGCTTCTGAACGAGTAGCTTGCTTTCTCATTGTCACATATCGCACTGAATTTCAAAGCCTTTGACGATCGCTGAGCCTATAACAGCAATTCTCATATGAACACAAGATGGCAGCCTTAAATAAACACAGCTCCATACAGCTCTTTATTTTAACACATCATTCATTTTCTAATTTATATATTCTGGGGTTTTTTTTACTGGCCAAACTGCACATCATCACTCAAAACTTTATAAGGACCAAGCCACAAGTATTGGAGTCTTTTGAGCTTCAATAATTTCATCTGTCTTTGAACCTGAATCGTAGCTCTGATGTGCCTCGTCGGCCTAGCAGACACTGGTTATAACCTATCTGGAACTCAAGGGGTTTAACATGATTCTTTTGACAGATTAAACAAGACAGTGTTTGTGTGTGTGTGTGTTTGTGTGTGTGAGAATTTAAGTTTTGCTTTTCTTTCTTTTTTTTTTTTTTTAAGTTAAATTAAAATAACATTAACATATTGCCCATTCTGCCTCTCATTGAACATGTGTGACAACTAATTAAGCTGTGCAATAGCTGTCAATCAAGGGCAAAAAGTGGTCCTTTAACTTCTAAATGTGACCAAATCCCCCTGTGTCTAGCAAGGGGGCCCACGATGCCCCGGCCTTTGTCTGGATATAGTTAGAGGCAGGCAAAACAGCTGCTTTCTAATACAATATTCATTTTTGTCTATAAAGGGTGTTAGAGATAAAAAGATTTCTGCAGTAGCTTATTTAGCAGGCATCATTAATTTATTATTAACATTTAATGATTAAGATCAAGAACTCCTAAATATATGTTACAATTTAATGACGAAAGCTATAAATTACAGTATATTTTAAGTCCTGCTCCCACCTATAACCTACTCATGACTTTCTGTGAGCTTGCATTCCAGAAATTCAAGTGCCTTTATCTTTAAGTTCTGAGAGACTCTAAGACTTCGTATAGACCTGCTGTGAGCTTACTATTTTGACACGATAGTAAAGGTTAAGACAAAAGGTAACATGCGACAAGTGAGATGTATAAAGGTTTCAGCTGCCCAGGAGTGGGAGAAAGTTAATACCAGGTCCCTGGGCCCAGAAAATAAGTCTCTTTCACAGAGGCCCAGTGATACACTGTCAAACTATTTACTTAGATTAAAGCATTCCACGAAATAAGAAAGTAGTCCCCTGAATTAGTACATTGGCTGCAGAAATGGCTGTTCATGGGCTCCACTTTCCTCGGGATCCAAAGATAGTTATTCTATATTAGTTTTGCTATTTTTCTTCCTAATTAGTTGTCCTGTTTATGGCTTAGATAATAGATAGAGAAGTTTCACTGATAGACAGATGGAAAATAATTGAGCACTTTATCTTATATCAAAATATATTTTTATTGATCTCACAGAATTTTGGAAAAGATGGGGTACGTTACAATCTATCATTTGATAATTATCAACATGCTAACCGCTGCCAATGAGTTGTGATGTTCTATGATTCCAATACATTTCAGCAGGTCTCTAGCATTTTCCAGTTTGGTCGGAAAAGGACCTAAACCTTGTGTTAAATACTCAAGCTTAAATGAAAACAAACCTTCCAAATAATAGCTATCAGCACATTAACAGAACCATTTAACACTTCTCAAATTCAATACCAGAGAGGACTTGGGCCCGATTTAATATTTTTGAATAAACTTTTCAAATGATTTAATATTTTTGGATTTTTTTTTTCAATATTTTGCTATTTCTTGATACAATGATATATGTTTATATTATATTTTTTTATATATATTTTTTGCAATTAATAGGTTTTTTTTTTAGACGCACATACATAATAATACAAGAGACGAATCATACCTTGCAATATTGTAGTGCTATTGAGTTCAAAATATCACAGTGTTTATAATCTTCAGAATTAGGTGCAGCTTGAGTCAATGTTTTCTAAACTTAGTGAAGGAAGGAAGGGTAGGAAAACCAGGGTGGGAGGATAGGTGGGGATGATTTTTGATACTTTAATATTTAGAAAAAAATATTTTAAAAGCTTATACAAAACTATTGCTTTGTTTATCATGGGAATTATTTCATATGCTTTGAACTGTCTAAGGGAGCAAAGCCAAAAGCGTTCATACGCTATGCTATTTATTATCGATCACTGGATTTAAATATATATATTTATATATATTAGTATCTTTCCAATAAAGGTCAGCACTGCAGGGATTTTATTCCAAAATTCTTCTTTATTTGTAATCCACAAATAATGTATTTACATAGTGAAGTCGACGTTTCAGTTCTAAATGAACTTTCATCAGGACATGTTCAAGCTGGATTTTGTATTAGCCCCAACAGCTCCCCACAATGAATGCATGTTCAGGTGAATAAATCCATCGTGGTTTCATATAAATATATATTTGTGGTGAGGGTCAATGACCTGGGAAAAACAAGTTGTGGTGTGCTGAAAACGACAGTCAGGTAAACCTGGTAAAATGACAGTCAGGTAAACCTGATAAAAGAGGGCAAAAAAATAATAAATTATTTAAAACTTTATTAGACACAGAAATCACAATTCCTGGTGGAATAGAGGAATGGTGGGTTGGTGGATAGATGGAGGCTGGGTAGCATAGACGCATGAATGGATATAGACAGCCAGAGAATTATTTCACCTTGGAGCATTTCATTGCTACATGCAATAAATGTATCTGTCCTTTCACCCATTACAGCTTGCAGACGCGATTTGGGTTGCATATATTTCCTGTTTGCAATCTTAACTGAGAGAAGCCACAGCAGAAGGGAGAACAGATTCCTCTCCAGCCTTATGAAGCTTAGCAGTCCTTCCTCTGCATGGAAGAATTTCAAACGAACCATGAAGAAAGGAAGCAGCGGAGGTAGAAAAACTACACTTTTGAAGATGAACATTTGCGCCTGCACTGGATTCAAAACATTTGTTATCTCATGACTCCACAACGTAAAGAAATAAAAATCAACACATCGTATATCTGTGCTTCCGGGAATCCCTTGAAGACTAACTCGTAGATGTAAAATGTATAATTTAGAGAGACATAAAGCATTTTCCTGCTACGTAAATAAAGGTTTGTCCTTAAGTAAAAACATATGAATACCAGTGTATAATATGGAAAATATTATGGCTCACTGTACACTTGTCACCTTTAAAGTAGAATTGGTCAACATGATCATGAAGGTGTTAAAATTTCATGACGCCACCATTTATAGTACAAGACTGAATACACCACACTGCAATTAAATTGGCCACAGATTATTAATTTTTTTGTGATCAAGAAGCTTTAAGTTTATGATCTACTGATAACTAGTGATGTGAGTGAGCATGTTCTTAAGAGCAAGTACCAAATATATTGTTTATGCTTACTAAGATACAAGATACAGTTTAATCAAGCATTGCATTGATTTTGCACATCACCACAAATGTTATTGCTGTGAAACGCTCATACACAACACACATCACAAAAAGTATTATTGCAAGTGAAGCTCTGTTATTTTCTCAAACATACCACACATCACCA